CATTTGGGTTCCATTTCCCATACCCATTCCCATGATACATCCAGCTGGACCATCCCAGCCATCTCTGCTCTCATACAGGTGCCAGAGGCTGGGCTGCATCTTCCCAGGAATTTGGCCAGCTCTCTCTCCTATAAGGCTCAGATATTTTGGAGACAAAATCCCTGCTGGTTTGTAAGGACGTTGTCCCGTGTTCTCCAGCATCAGACCTCCGAGACCTGGGCCATGCTCTATTTGTTGTGTGGGTGTCTATTTTTGTCAGTTAGGTTGACAGTTGGACAAGATGATCTTTAAGGTCCCTTCCAACCTAGAAGATTCTGTCCAGGCCTGGGTCATGCTCTGTGTCATCATTCCTCAGACTTTTTGGGAGTATCCCAGGTCCAGGAGCATCCCCGGGGCTTGAGGAGGTAATCATCCCTCAGACTTTTTGGGAGTATCCCAGGGCCAGGAGCATCCCCGGGGCTTGAGGAGGTAAATCAGGGGAGTCGAACCAAAGGGATTGTCTCAAAACAGGAGCTCGTCGGGCTGGCCTTGCTCCCTGCTTTATGAAATCAAACTCTTTAATATCTCCCCGCCTAGAACAGGTGAAAAACTTATTACAGAAGACGAGTCTTGGCTCTGGACAGACGGGTTCATGCACGATGCTGCGGGCATCGCGCCTGCGCCGTGGGGCTCCGTGGACCAGCCAGGAGTTTGAGTTCATCACTGGGGTGCCCCAGGCACTGCGAGCAATAACACAGCCCAGTAATAAAATCCTTACTTCGCAATAAACTGATCCTTTGCCTTTTCATTTAAGAACGAAATATAAGGCCATGGTAGTTTAAAGGTGGATTTCTTTCTCTCCTTCCCCCACCACCCAAAGAAGACCCATCTCAGATGGATGGTTTTAGCGCCGTCTTCACTCTGCACCGTGATTTCCCTGATTAATCACTTTGGTAATAAATTGGACAAAGTATGTCTATTAAATATCTCATTTCCCTTCAGCAGTTTGGGCACTCGGTCAATTTTATAAGGAAAAAAAAAAAAAAAGTGCTAAGAAATGCCAAAGAGGTAAGACAAAAAAGCCAATGACCAATGATTCCTTGATGACTAATTGCCCACCCAGATGAAGTGACCACACACCAGTGGGTCCCACACCTCATGGTGGTGGTGTCCCAGCACCCAGCTTGAGTATTTGCTGAAATTAAGTAAAGCTGCTCCTCCAAACCTCCTGTCTCACAGTGGGGCTTCTCCTGTGTGTTCTGCTCCAAGGTTGCAAAACAGGATTTAAGTCTTGGGGCAGAGTGGCTGGAGGTGTCTGGCAGAAGCTTCCAAGTCACAGACAATAAGACAAGAGGAAATGTCCTCAAGTTGTACCAGGGGAGGTTCAGATTGGAGATTAGGAAAAATTGTGACACGGAAAGTGTTATTAAGCCTTGGAATGGGCTGCCCAGGGAAGGGGTTGAGGCACCATCCCTGGAGGGATGTAGAAGACGGGTTGACATAGAGCTGAGTGACATGGGTTAGTGATGGTTTTTATCAGAGTTAGGTTGATGGTTGGACTAGATGATCTGAAAGGTCCCTTCCAACCCAGACAATCCTATGTCTGGGTTCCCCTGAATTGGTTGAATGATGGTTCCCCTGAATTACAAAACTTTCAGGAATGGGGGACTTTGTGAGCTTCTATTTCCAAGAGAAAGATGGTTCCCCTGAATTACAGAAACTTTCAGGAATGGGGGACTTTGTGAGCACCCTCTTGCTTGGGGTCTCCCCTCCAGCTGTGACAGATGTCTCCAGCCACATTCCTCAGGAGCTCGCTGAGGTCTGGCAATGGAAATGTAAATGGAAAAGCAATGGAAATCTGGAAATTTGCTGTTCAGGTGCAAATATCAGCCGGGTGGGACCAGCTCCACATCCCCACGCACTGAGCTGCATCCCTTGGGATGCTCCAAGGGGCCCTCTGGAGAGTGTGACCCTGCTCACTACACCGACACGGAGGTACACAGAAAACACTGCTTTATTGACTGCATTTGCCAACACATTGAGGAATGCAAAGGGGTTTGTTTGTTTTTTTTTTTTTCATAAGCAATGGGCCATGGTCCCAATGTGTATTAAAGCATACACTGTATCTAAACAGGATGAAAATAATGGCAGACAGAGCTATTCCAAGGCAACACAAATAGCATGCATAATACAGTCTCACACAGAACGAGTTTGATAACATTATATTGCTTTAAGGATTAACTAACATGGAAAATGTACAAAAAGGAGAAATAGGTTTTTGCATTAATGAAAAATACATTTTTTCTCTACAAAGGAATTTCTAATACAAGAAAATAAATATTGCAACATAAGCCAAAAATAATTTAAAATTGCTCTTTTCAATATATTTTCAATATTTCTCTTTTATATTAACAAATGGCACATCACGTTCTTTGAAACAAAGAAAACAGAAGGGTTTCTCCTCCTGCGACATTCATATCGTTTCCTGTAACTGATGTGAAGTGGGTCTGGTTTGTATGTGGAATGGTGCAAACCGTGGGGGGAAACCTCCTTTAAAGAACAACCAAACCTCAGGCCCTGCCCTGCAGCAGCATCTTCCCGCTCCCTCCTGCATCCTGACTCTGTTCTGCCTCGCTCCCTGCTTTTTGGGGAGCTCTGTGGGGCAGCAGGCACCCGAACCCCCTAAAAATAGGTGCAGGGAAAATAATTAATAATAATAATAATAATTTTAAAAAATGGGTATGGGGAAGAGGGGTGTGTGGAATCGGAGCTGCCCTCAGGAAAGCCTGGTCCCAATGTGTATTAAAGCATACACTGTATCTAAACAGGATGAAAATAATGGCAGACAGAGCTATTCCAAGGCAACACAAATAGCATGCATAATACAGTCTCACACAGAACGAGTTTGATAACATTATATTGCTTTAAGGATTAACTAACATGGAAAATGTACAAAAAGGAGAAATAGGTTTTTGCATTAATGAAAAATACATTTTTTCTCTACAAAGGAATTTCTAATACAAGAAAATAAATATTGCAACATAAGCCAAAAATAATTTAAAATTGCTCTTTTCAATATATTTTCAATATTTCTCTTTTATATTAACAAATGGCACATCACGTTCTTTGAAACAAAGAAAACAGAAGGGTTTCTCCTCCTGCGACATTCATATCGTTTCCTGTAACTGATGTGAAGTGGGTCTGGTTTGTATGTGGAATGGTGCAAACCGTGGGGGGAAACCTCCTTTAAAGAACAACCAAACCTCAGGCCCTGCCCTGCAGCAGCATCTTCCCGCTCCCTCCTGCATCCTGACTCTGTTCTGCCTCGCTCCCTGCTTTTTGGGGAGCTCTGTGGGGCAGCAGGCACCCGAACCCCCTAAAAATAGGTGCAGGGAAAATAATTAATAATAATAATAATAATTTTAAAAAATGGGTATGGGGAAGAGGGGTGTGTGGAATCGGAGCTGCCCTCAGGAAAGCCCGATGCTTCCATCCTGGGCTGATGCTGGGGGCTGTGGTCCATGATGGGGGCGTGATGTGATCTTTTTTTTCTTGCCCCCTCCTCTCCACTCCCCACGGCTGCCGCTTCGCCGGGGAAACGACTGCTCCGACAGTGCAAATGTCCATTCCTGCAGTTTATAATACACCTTAAAAGACAACATTTCTCTACTAAAATAGACCCTTTATTTTTTTTTTTCTTTCAATTAATGTCAAAATACATTTACAGCAACATCAAAAAATATTTGCCTTGTGCATTTTCTCTCCCCAAGACCGGGCTCCCCCGCTCCCAGGCGAGGGGGTGGCCAGGACGCGCCGGGCAGGGGATGCCCCAGCCCTGGCCAGAGCCCCTTCCCTCCGTGGGTGCCCCTTTTCTCCTCTCTTATTCCCCCCACCCCATTTTTCTCCCCGGGTCTGCTGTGCCCCACCAGCCCCTTTTCCCTTTCCCCACTTATCCACCATCTCCCGATGGCAAAAATACTGACTTTTTTGGGAGCGTTTCCAACTGGTTTATTGCCTGGCGCTGGGGTGGTTGTTCTTTAAAGTCTCCCCCCACTTTTTGCTTTCCTGTACTGAGAAGACAAGTAGTGCAGAAGCTGATGAATGGAGCTGTGTACAGTGAGATTTGTGGATTGCTTTTTTTGTTTGTTTTTTTTTTTTTTTTAACCATAATTGAGTGAAGCACACGGAAGCAAGATTCATTAAAAGGCAGCATATTGATTATTGTTATGACTCTTATACTAGGATACTGTAGCTAAAGCTAGCAAGCCTGATAAGATAAACTAAGTCCTATTTACTGTATTTAACATTATCTGAACATACTGAGCCTTAATTAATGAGCAGATTTTCATTTCCAACCTCGATGGATTACGCGAATTTATAACAAAGGTGGTTTTTGTTGGTTTTCGGTTGGTTGGTTGTTTTTGTTTTTTTTTCCTGCTAACATTTCTCCCATCTGAGGAAGATTTTTTTTTTTTCCCCACCCCCTCCCAGGCAGGGTCAGTCTCAGCTGGGCTCATGTGGGGCTCAGCTGGGGCCGGGAGCTGGGTGTCCGACCCCCCCAAAATCCCCACCGCTCGCCGAGGCCTGGGGTGAGCTGGGCTGGCCGTCGCCCATCTCTGCTGCAATTTCATCACTAATAAGGACTTTGGAAGGCTGATAAGAGAGAGATGAACTACTCTAAAAAACGTCGATCGAAGGAGTCTCCAGAGTTTCAAAAAAACAGAAAAGCTCACAGTGAAATGAGCAAAAAGCATCGGAAAATCAAAACGGCAGGATGCGGTCTCGGAGCAGCAGCATCCCTCGGAGCAAGCTTGGAACCTAACGCCGCAGCAGTGTGTTATGAGTTGTGTCTTTAGTCCTTTGTTGCTAAATAACTTCCAATTTTTTTATTTTTTTTTATTTTTTTTATTTTTTTTTCCGTAATGACAAGTTTCCGGTTTCTGGCTGTGCTGCTTGACTGTCAAAATATTCTTTGGCATCCACAAAATTATTTGACTGATTGGTTTGATAATTTTTTTTTGTTTTTTTTTCCTGCTAACATTTCTCCCATCTGAGGAAGATTTTTTTTTTCCCACCCCCTCCCAGGCAGGGTCAGTCTCAGCTGGGCTCATGTGGGGCTCAGCTGGGGCCGGGAGCTGGGTGTCCGACCCCCCCAAAATCCCCACCGCTCGCCGAGGCCTGGGGTGAGCTGGGCTGGCCGTCGCCCATCTCTGCTGCAATTTCATCACTAATAAGGACTTTGGAAGGCTGATAAGAGAGAGATGAACTACTCTAAAAAACGTCGATCGAAGGAGTCTCCAGAGTTTCAAAAAAACAGAAAAGCTCACAGTGAAATGAGCAAAAAGCATCGGAAAATCAAAACGGCAGGATGCGGTCTCGGAGCAGCAGCATCCCTCGGAGCAAGCTTGGAACCTAACGCCGCAGCAGTGTGTTATGAGTTGTGTCTTTAGTCCTTTGTTGCTAAATAACTTCCAATTTTTTTATTTTTTTTTAATTTTTTTTATTTTTTTTTTCCGTAATGACAAGTTTCCGGTTTCTGGCTGTGCTGCTTGACTGTCAAAATATTCTTTGGCATCCACAAAATTATTTGACTGATTGGTTTGATAATTGCAGGGTTTTTTTTGTTTAGTGGTGGGTTTAACCGGTTGCAGAAGTGTCCCAGGTTTGGTTTGTATATATTTTTTTTTTTAGTTTTTTTTTTTTAAAACATTTTTTATTTTTAAAAAACAACAACAACAAAAGTTTCAGTGAATTCCTTTTTTTTTTTTTTTTGTTCCCTGAGCTCACACTGGGGTCACTCCAATAAAACACGTAGCACGACTTAACTGTGACCTTTGAAGCCAAAACCGAAGTAATGGTGCAATTAAGTGCAAACATGGAAATTCGCCTGACTCGTAGGTAACATGGGCTTTTAAACAACATTTAAGGCTTATTGGGGACATTTTATGCATTAAATTATTGTAATATTTATAATGTCAGCTTCTGTGAATCACCCTCCCACAACAAGTCAACAGCTTGGAACCAGGATTTAAGAATAAGAATAATAATTAAAAAAAAAAAAAAAAGGATGGGGAGGAATAAATTCACCATTTTCCATTGTAGCGTTTAGTAGGAAAACAGAATGGCGAAGGCAAGCGTTTCCATTTCCCCTCGTGACAGTACATTTACCCTCGGGGCTAAGGATTTTGTTGTGCAAAGGGGATTTATTTCACGGTGGGACCACGGGAGAGAAGCAGGGGCAGAAGAAACTTCACTCAACCTCCGGGGTTAAACCACCCCCGACTCCTCACCCTGCTTTTAAAAGGATGCTTTTCTCCTCCGTCCTGCCCCGCATTTCCCATTTCCCAGCTCGCAAACTCACTGATCGATTCACCTGAGTAAATCACTTGGGTTTTCCTGATGGCCCCAGAGCATCCCACGGGGCAGGGACGGGGAGAAATTCTGCATCCCGGCCCCTGGACGGATCCCGACCGGATGGAAAGGTGAGGGGAAAAATAATCCCCGAGGGTGTGGTTGGTTGGTTGTTTTCTTTTTTTTTTTTCCTAAAAATAGAAACGTAACATTGCTCTCTTCCACCCCAAGCGCTTTCCTCCAATAAGCTTTTTGTGCTTTAGTCATTATTTATTTTAGTATCTCTTATTTTGCCTCCTCGTATACGCGCAGGCAGGCGGGTGTTGATTTCCCCCCCCCTGCAGCTGGTCACTACCGTACCCTCCCTGCTCCGGGGGCAACCATCCCGGGCGGAAATCTGCCCCTCGTTAAATAATGCCCATTAATTAAACTATCATCCCTGCAGAAAGCACGGGTACCGGCACCCTCTCGGCATCCCCCCTGGCATCGGTGTTCCCAGGAAGCAAGGATGGGGGTGGGGGGAAAATTAGGGAAGCCAGGGAGGGCCCACTGCTGTCAGGGTCATCGATGTCGGTGAAGCTGAAGCTGGATTTCGGGCGTATAGAGAAGAGAAAAGACAACAGTGCCGAATTTCCAACTATATACACGTATTAAAAATCCCCCTTTTGAGCTGTGACACCAGGCAGGAATTGGACATGGCAGTTGTGACTGGGGTTCGAGGCCTCGTGGAGCCGGCGGGGGGCCGAAGGAGGAGTTAGGAGGCCAGGATGCTCATCCTGACGATGTCCTCGCCGGCAGCATCCAGCTGGCCTCGCTGGGCCCTGCCGCCCCGGGGCTCCCCATCCGAGTCGCTCATCTCTGCGTCGGAGAAGTAGCCGTCCGTCTCGGCCTCGAAACGGCGCAAGGAGGCTCCGCCGGCGCCCTCGGCCTTGGGGGGCTGCCCCCGCCGAGCCCCTCGGCTCTCCTTTGGTAATTTGAACCGCACCAGGGTTTTGGGGCTACCTACGGAGTCAGGCACTTTGGGGCTGGGCTCCGGCTGAGCGCAGCGCGGCGTCTCCTCCTCTTCCTCCTCATCCTCCTCCTCTTCCATGCTGAGGCAGCCCCTGGCCCCGGCCGGGGGGTGAGACTCGCCGGCTTTGGGCAGAGAACCCTTCTTGGCCGCCTTTTTTGCCTCCCCCGAGCCTTTGCGGTCGGTAGGAAGCTTCACCCCAGCTTTCTCCGACTTGCCCGGTCTGGAATCGGGAGCCAAGGGTTTGGTGGCATCATCCGACAAGTCGCTGGCGTTGTTAGTCCAGGGCTCTGAGCTCTCCGGGTGGTTTCCACCCAGGGCTGGGGGGCTGCTCCTGGGCAGCTTTTTCTTAGTGTTCGTTCTCGTTCTGCTTTTCACTTTCTTGGTGGCCTCGCTCTGCTTGAACGGGGACCGGAGGGAATGGTCCATCATGAAGCTCAGCAAGGTCTCCTCGTCCTGGAGGAGCTCCTCGGAGAGGCCGGGGGTGCTGTCCTCATGGTGGGCGTTGTTGAGGGACCACTCGCTCATCGCCATGTTCTCGGCGGTGATCTGGACCGACTGCGCCAACCAGCTGTTGAAGAAGGTCCCGTCGATGGGGAAGGAGGTTGACAAGCCTGGAAAACAAAAAAAAAAAAAAAAGGAGAAGATGGCTCAGAAGTCAGGAACTGCCACTGCCACCAACTTCATTGAAAACTCCCCAGCACCAGAGAAACACTCAAAAGATCACAGAATCATAGAATGGTTTGGGTTGGAAGAGACTTGAAAGATCATCAAGTTCCACCTGCCCTGGGCAGGGACACCTCCCACCAGCCCAGGTTGCTCCAAGCCCCCTCCAACTCGGCCTTGAACCCCTCCAGGGATGGGGCAGCCACAGCTTCTCTGGGCAACCTGGGCCAGGCTCTCACCACCCTCACACCAAAGAACTCCTTCCTAATCTCTAATCTAATCTCCCCTCTTTCAGTTTAAAACCATTCCCCCTTTGTCCTATGGCTCCCCTCCCCTATCAAGAGTCCCTCCCCATCTCTCCTGTAGGTGAACAGGTAAGATCAACCATAACACACCACATCAAGGCACAGAAGGGGGTTTACTCCAGCACTGATGTTGAATTTGGGGTCTACTGAGGTCACAGCACAACAACCCGAGTGGTCCCCCACATCCAACACTCCACTAATCTCCTGGAATCTAAACGGAGCATCCTTCTGCAGCGAAGATGCTGAGCCCCAACCCGCCCCAGCATGGGTGGAAAACACATTCCCATGCAAGGCATGGAGGAGGGCAGGAGGCAGGTCTGAGAACACCTCCAAATGCTCGAGAGGTGTGAAAACTGAAGAAGAGGAGGCAGAGATGACAGGCTGGGATGGAAGAAGCCGAAAAACTTCCGAATAATTATCTTTGAGAGCAAAAGCAAGCATTGTGGGCTGGGCTGGGTGTAATTAGCAATGGGGAAGGCGCCTACCTGCACATGCACATGGGGTTTAAATCTCCGTAACAGAAACCCACAGGTTCGGCATCAGAGCTGGTGTTATGGATGGAGCAAACACCCCGTTTCCAAAGGGGCTCCTGCCTAAAACCCAACAGCTTCGAGAGGAAGGTCACACAGCAGAGTTGGGGTGAGCAGCAGGCAAAGCAGAGCAAGGCAGGGTGGCCCAGACCTCCCCCAGAAACTCTCTGTACCCCCAGGAGGGTTTTATAGCCCCCCGAGACTGTCCAAGAGCCCCACGGGACCGGTGCACTTCCAGCCCCACATGCTGCCAGAGGTGACAGCGCCGGAGGAAGTCAAAACAAAAACCCATTTCCATATAAAAACCAGATGCAGTTGTCAAAGATTGGGTCAAACAAGACCTTTTTGCTCTTTTTTTTTTCACTCCCCCCCAACTACCCCGTCTGCAGCTGACGGGGAAGAGCTGGAGGTGGCTGAAGCATCTGCAGAGCCAGCCTGGATCTCCTCACCCCCCCTGAGGGAATTCAGGAGCCTGGCTGTGCTTTGTGCCTGCCTCCTGGATGCTCCTGGACCACACGTGCTCCTGGATGGTCCATGCCATGAAAACACACGGCCTGGGCACCGCAGTTGCCATCGGGGCACCGCACAGAAGACACGGGGGAAGAGCCCTTCTGTGGGGAGGGTAAGTCTGATTTTATCACCGCAAAGCCACATCACGCTTCAGCAGCACATCACAGGGTTTGTAACACTGTGTCCCAACCCCCTGGGGCTGCGGGGGAGGATTTTACACCCCCTGCCCCACCAGGGACCCTGTCTCCAACAGGGTCTCTCCTGTAGGAGCTCGGTAACTCAGGCTGATGCCCACAAGGGAGAGATGGAAGAAGCTCCCCCGGCCCTGGGTGCAATTCCACCGTGTACGTGCAAGGAGGGATGAGGGGCTGGGACTCTAAACCCCGCTCCCCGAAACAGGGAGCCTCCAGCAGCACGGGTCAACTCTGCAGCCATAAAATCAGACTTACCCAGTTGTCCCAACACAGTTTCGTTGACTGATTTCCTTTTCTCTTTCTTCTCAGGACTATTTTTTCTACCATCTCTTCCTTTCCTTCTCGGGTCACTTTTCTTACCCTTTGTCTTCTTCCCAGTTTGTTCTGGCATTTTTTAGAAAAAAGAGGAAAACTCCGTGTGAGACGAGGCACGAGGGATGCTGCGGTGAGCAAGTTCCCCTGGGGCACACCCCTGTGGTGGAGACCTGGACCAGAGCTGCAAACAACTCCAAGCCAAAGGGAGAACAGCGGCCACTTTTTGGCCAACTGTAGCCTAAGGTCTCTACAAGTCAAGAGAATCTGAATCCTGGAGGTTACATAAAAAAAGAGGTTTGGGCTGTGGACATGAACTCAGGGTGGGCGCAGGAGCAGCCCTACTGAAGGCAGGGAACTCACTGGAGACCCTACAGCCACCACCATGTCCTCCAGGAGCAGGGCTTTGGGGTGAGGACCTGCGGGAGCCGCTGAAGGGATTAACCCCAAACCCTGCTCAGACACCTTCCAGGAGACATGGGGACCTCCAAACCCAGTGGTGTGTCACCCGTCACTGACAAGAGCATCTCCTGGAGGGCTTCAGCTGCAAAGCATGTTTGACAGCAATGCTGCCTACCAGCAGTGTTTTAAAGCAGACCTTGATTTGATTTGACCTTTCAGTGATAGTAACTGCTCACGCTCATACCGTGCAGGGGTGAAAAAAGCCCCAGAGCTATAAAACTTAAGCAGCCTATTGAGCATAAGTAAATGGAGTAGGAAGGATGACCAGCATTGCCTATGGAAAGCCAGGGATATAACTCTTAGCTATGGAGACATTCAGCTAAAAATCAATATTTCCTAAATGGCTTTGAACTTCTACTGGATTTATTCCTCTTGGGTAAACGGGACAAATATCCTATAAAAGCACGACTCGTATTGCCAAGCAAAATACTTCAACAGCTTTTACTTACTCCGTCGGGTCACCCTCCCTCAGAAGTCCAGGCTAAAACTTCTATTAGTTTTCAGAAGGGGAAAAATATTGCCCTTAAACCAAAAGGTGGGTGGCTGATGGAAGCGGAGGTAAGACTTTTCAGAGTCTGGCCCGTGGGCTGAACCCGTGCAAGCTGCGCAGCTCTCGGAGCCAGGATTTTAAGAAAGGAGTTGGTTTGGGGTGTCAGCTGGCAGCAGACCTGCAAAACCAGCCTCAGTGGAGGGGCCGTGGAGTGGATGGATCTGAGGGAACCACCTCTGCTCCCCACTTGCTGTGACAGTGGAAATGTACTGAGTGAGGAGGGGAGGGAACTCACTTTGCACCTGCCCGAGTCTGGATTTACAGAGGATTTACAGTCCCGGGACTGCCAAGCCCCTCCTGACCCAAGGACTCACCAAAAGGAAGAAAAGCAAAAGCAAAATCGCTATTTGCTGCATTCCTGCCAAGTAACTGGAGAAAGGCAGACACATTCTTCACCCCGCTTACAAAATAAAAACCTAACTTCGTTTAGGCAGCACAATGCGGCTAAAGAGAAACCCGAGCAGGACTTTTTGAAGAGGAACTTGTCAAAATAGTAGCCGTGTTTCAAAGCCAGACAGTGTTTACTTTCCACTCCGTGCAAGAGAAATACAGGGGAGAGAGAGGTGGGTTCATTTTACACAGGCAGTCCTCAGTAATTTTATTAAAAATCTCCTGCTTAAATGATCATTTGTCAGCGGGAAAAATAAACCCCTCCAGTTTGGAGTTTTACTGTGGGAGCCGTTCCAAAAAAACCTTTGTGCCAAAACCATCTTTGGAATAACCCCAACAGATGTCGGTCGATGACTACTGTCACAGCAGTTAAAAACTGGCCTCATCCAGGCAAAAATAATGGAGATTTCTTTCTTTCTCCCAAGAAACCCCAGAGCAGCCCGGTTGGGAGGGGATGCTACAGGAACTGTTCCCCCACTTCCAAACCAGTCAGGGCTTCGTAGTGATGGGAAGCTCAGTGGTGAGTTATCCATAGCTGTGGTCCCACTGGGAGCCAATTATCTTTATTTCTAAGTATCATCAACTAGCACAGGGTGGTTTAGCACATGTGTGGGTGCTGGGAGCACTTGGTAGCATCGGGGTCTGTAACGGTGCGTGTTTGGGATGGGACTGGGATGAGACAGCTAGGAGCTGAAGCAGAAAATAAGGACAAGGCTCCTTTCCACGGCTCTGCTGTGTGCTGCCAGGCAGGGGTGGCACGGGCAGGGATGTGTAGCTGCCCTGGGAAGGGGGCAGATGGAGGCTGAGCCCTTCTCTGATCTCCTTCCCACTGGCCACCCCTCCGTGCTGTGCTGCCACCCTGCCATTGGGCAGGACCTGGAGATCAGCAGGAGGACCACAGCCCCATGCTGTGCTTGCCTGCACTGTGACTGTCACCCCTAGCCAGGTCATCCCCTCTTCCCACATTTGGGATCACAATTTATGGCCTGATGCTACATCCCAGCAAGGGAATCCCTCCCAACTTGGGAGACCCTACACATCAATGCCAAAAGGCTCTTGGGTCCCTAATGTCCCCTTGACACGGGAAGGACCCAGATGCCCAAACCACCTGGAGATCCCAGGACCAAATTCCCACAGCCAGACCCTTTCCCTGGCAGCAGCTCAACCAGTCCCTGCTCAGGCTCAACCCAAAAACCCATCTCAGAGAGGTGAGCAGCTCAGCTCAGTCAGGTCAGAGTAGAAAAAGAATTGGCAAACACCAGCCGTTTTGGGGTAGAAGAACATTTCCATCAAAAGGTATGAAGCAACCCCCCAGCCTGCACACCAATCCCTGCCTGAGACACCCTCTCTCCACCGGGTTGTCTCTATCACTCACCTTTAGGCAGGAGAAACAACACGGTAACGGCAGCGGTGCTTTTCCCTGAGTACACACAGAACATTTTCCAGAAGGGCAATGGTACAACGGTGGAGCAGACAGCCCCAGAATACAAGCAGCAGAGCCCCAACACATCTCCTCCTTGCTGGCTGGCATCCTCACCACGCCGGGGAGGGTCCCAGGAGGAGCTGCCACCTCCCACCCCATCACTGCATCACAGCCAGGGGTGGGCACGCACCAGTGGTCGGACTCCCCAGGGCATTTTGGGGAATGCAGGTCCCCAGGAGCATTTCCAGCTGTCTAACACCCCGTCTGCAAGGGAGGTGAGCTCCAAACCCCTTCCTGGCAAAGGACCCTGTGCCTGGCTCCTCCTGAGAGCTGCAGAAGTTAAAGAGGGTTTGCCCAGCTGAACTGAAGAGCATCCTGAGGTCCCCCCCGAAAACCCGCAGAGCCCAGCAGCAACTGCCATCAGGATCTGAGATTGCTGCTCTTTTTTATCCACCCGATATTCACATTTTTATCCCCAGCTGGACCTGCCGCCAGCAGCATCACTGCTGGGAGCACCACCCAGCACAGAATCCCCAGGTGCCAGGGAACAGCTCTTTGGATGAGCATCGTGGGGTCTCCAATCAGTGGGAACAGCCAGGAACACCATTTTATGTTTTGTGTTATCGTTGGGTTCAGCAAGGACATAGAGAGCAACACACAGCATCACTGATCTGTGTCACGGGGAGCAAGATTTACAGGACCCACATCTCCCCAGAGCAATCCCTGGGGTCCCAACCACTCCTGCCCCACACTGCTGCCTGGCTCTGGCCATCGAGAGGAATTTGCAGAGGCTCCAAGTCACAAACATCCCAACGTACACATTTCCCAGCCTCCGAAACTTCAGTCAAAGGAAACTTTTGTCAAGGAAAGCTCAGCCCAGACGGTTCCTGAAGAAACCCCAACCATGTGATGGCTTCAAACGCAACTCCAAAGCCACAAACACAACAACCGTCGGAAGAGCCTGCCAAAGCGCCAGATGCTGCTGCTGGAAAAACTGTTCTGCAGCCACGGGGTTTGGTCTGAGCTGCCACCGAAGGGAAAAGGAGGAGGGAGCAGGAGCTCTGGGCTCCGGCACCGCTTGTGCAAAAAGGAAAAAATGAAAAAAAAAGGACAGAAGGGAATCAACTTTATTTCAGTTCCTTAAAAAAAAAGGTGCCAAAGGTTCTGTGGTGTGATGTTCTCCACAAACAGGGATGTGGAGCAGAAAACTGCAGCCGACCAGAGCTAAAGGAGCAACAGACATCCCACCAGCAGCGTAACCTTCCATTCCTGACAGAGCCAAAGGCATCTGCACCGAGTCCAACACAAGGGCTGCTGACCCGTGCCAGGGAGCCAGCTGCCCTGGACCAGCCCCAACACCAGCAGCCCCGTGCCCAGGATCTGCCACCTCCTCCCAAACAGCTCCAGCTCCACTTCAGTCACCGAAACGCTGCTTTAGCATCACCGCCTAACCAAAAGCTGGGTCTTTCTGACCAAAAGCTGGGTCTTTCTGACTGATTCTCGGGAGCTCCAACACTCCAGTCACCCAGTGTATGGCTTCATTGTGCTTTTCTGAACAAACCTGGAGATGGGCAAAACTGGAGATGTCCTTCAGGACAAGAAGAAATGGGTACAAACTTGAATATAAGAAGTTCCACCTAAACATGAGGAGGAACTTCTTCACTTTGAGGGTGGCAGAGCCCTGGAAGAGGCTGCCCAGAGAGGTGGTGGAGTCTCCTTCTCTGGAGACATTCAAACCCCACCTGGACACGTTCCTGTGGGACCTGCTCTGGGTGGACCTGCTCTGGCAGAGGGTTGGACTAGAGGACCTCCAGAGGTCCCTTCCAACCTCATGTGATTCTGTGATGGGCAAAGGGTCAACATACGAACCGTACTTAAAGAAGATGGCAGGGGACAGGGCAGCTCTGGTTTCCTTGGGGTGGGGGCTGAGGCTTGGGCACGAGCCTTTGGCTTCAGAGGACAGCAGGGAGAGTGTCTGGGAGAAGCAGCTCTGGTAAATGGTACTGACCTGGGTAAAGATCTTTCTCAATAAGCTTCATCTGGAGATGGAAGATCTGCTCCTGGAGTTTACAAATGGTGTGTTTCATTTTCTCCCGTCTCGTCACCATGTAACAGAGATTTCTAACCTAGAGAAACAGAAGAAACAGCGTTTGGTTTAGGCAGAGCTCAAAGAGGGTCTCTGTCACCATGGCTGCGGCCGGGCATCCAGGCTGTCGGGAGGAAAGGGGAGGGTTTGGGCTGCTGCTGTGAAACAGAAAATGCTAATGGCAGCCCACGGGGCTTTGACAGCGTTTACTCAGCATCCTGGGGCTGCCAAAGAGCCAAAAAGCCTGCCAGGAGGCAAGGAGGAGGTGGCCTGAGAGGTGGCACGGGCAGCGGTGTGCGTGGGTAGGTCCACACTCTGGTGTGACCCCGATTCCTCCCCCTCCTCATCCTCAAACACCTCCGTACAGAGGAAGGCTGGGGTATTTCCAGGCTTGGGGGACTGTCCCTCCAAGGGACAGGAGCCTCTGTGCCTCTCCTGGTGACACAGCAAGCCAGGACCTCGTCCCACACTGACCTAGTGTCTGCCACCAAAGGCTGAGAAGAAGCAGGACAACTGTGGCCACCCCCTGATGGCATCAATCTTACCCAAGGACAACTTAGAAACACTCCTATATACAAATATAGGACAAAACTATATATATATATATATATAAAAATATATAGGAGAAAACACCACTTTTTTTTTTTAATCCCCCAGCTGCAAATATAAAGCAGCAAGCTATATGCTGTATATTTTATTATATTCCCCTTTTTTTTTCATTCTGGATTGGAGAAAACATCAAACTAAAATTTCTTTATGAGGAAAACAACTGCCTCTGGCAACCCGCGTCTCCAAGTGTTTGGCGGTATCTCTTCTCCGTGATTTGATATTCCTGGAAGAAAACATTACTTGTGCTCTGCTTAGAGACTGCTGGTATTTACACACACTTCCACGGCGAAACGCCGCCCAGCGCCGCTTCCCCAAGCCAAGCTTAGATGCTGGTATGAAAGCCTGGAAACTATAGGGGTTTTTTTTGTTAAAGCTAAATTAAACAACCAGTCCACGGAAAAAGCTTCTGATAAAAAAAAGAAACGAAAAAAAAATTGGAAAGAAGGTTAAAAGGGCCAAAAAGAAAACGGTGTAGGGGGGGAGCTGTATGAGGATTCCCAGGCAATAGCTTTAATTTGCTGGCACTGTGAAGAGCAGGAATGAGAGCGGGTCAGAGCTGGCAGAGGGAAATGCTGTCATTCCTGGCTCCCCCTGCTCCATCAGCCCGGTGGCTTCTGCCTCCCCAACTCTTGGATCCAGGCTCCGTTATCAGCCCCCAAAATCACCAGCGTTCCCACTCAGATTTAAGTGCTGAAAACACTGAAATAGCAACACGATGCCTCGTGGACACCCTTTGAAGGCCACCCCTCCAGGCTGCTCCTCTCCCACCCCTCCGTGATGTGATGCGAGGGAAAGGGGGGGCTGACAGACAGATCAGCCACCTGGGATGCGCCAGCAGGAGTGGGATTTAAACCCCTCTCACCCATCTGAGCACTGGACTTTGATCTGGCCGGTGTTTATTGTTCCCCACTCTTGGAAGAAGAGCAAACAAACATCTTTTCCAGGGCCTGGCAGCAGAACCCGGCAGGGAGTTGGCTAAGCAGGGGCTGAACGGGGGAATGACCCCCACGAAGCCTGGAGGCAACTCTGGAAAATGAGAAAGCTGGTAAAACCTGTAGTTTTGACACAAAGAAATCAAAGAGAAGCTGCCGTGCCGTGACTTTGAATGAGGCAGCTCCCGGAGGGAAGCGCTGTGCCCAGCGATGCACGGTGGGCTCCTCGCAGCCAGGAAAGTCAAGCTGGGAGCAAGTGGGAGCTGAGGCAGGTAGGAGCAGCCTGGTTTAGATTTACAATATAGAGAGGTAGATGAGGGGAAAAAAGTGAGTTGAACTTCCCGGATCCAGCAGCAGCAGCAGCCTGTTGTCCATTTGGTGCTGGGGACCCATTAACGGTGGCACCAGCCCAACACAGAGATGGAAGCCACGGGGCAAAGGCAGGAGCAAAGGAGGGACAGAGAGATGGCAGTGATGTACTCAGGGATGAAGGCTGGCTGGACCATGGAAGAGACCAATAGCTTGAAATCCAAAAGCCTTTACACAGGAGAAGGCTCTCAGGCTCCAAGACCCACCCGGGGAGGTGGGTGCAGCGAGGGACCAGGGAGGGCTGGTCCAGTGCTGGAACCCCAGCTGGGCATGAACACAGTGCTCACCCGCACCACCCTACTCCCCAGGGGTTAAATTCTGCCACAGAGCTTGAAGAGAGGGCTCAGGGACAGGCAGGGGCAGGCAGGAACAGGCAGGGATAGGCAGGGACCTGCCCCTGCCCCATCCCTGCTCTTTCCCTCCCTGCAGCCATGA